AAAGGCTGGCTCTTCTGTCACTCTGAATTTAGGTAAAGGAGGTGGTCCAGGAGCATCATAGTCCCTCAGTCTTCTTACAGACTACACATCGATCAATTATTCTCTTAACAGTAGATCTTCCTCTCACAATCCAGTATCTCGCGCGAACTTCAACCAATGTCTCTTTAACACCATTGTGGAATACTCGCGCATGCGCTCTCTGAAAAACTAGATCTGTAAAGTGATGCTTGTTAGGCAGTAGCACAGGATGCTTAGTATTATAAGGGATGTCTGCATTAGATAATCTTCCCCTGCATCTCCAGACTTCTTCATCTGAAATAGCTGTAGCTGGTGCTTCCACTCCTTGAATCTCCTCTCCTCCACTAAGCTCAACTGCACATCTTTGATCCACATCAGCTCTGCCTTCATTACTATTACTTCATCCGCCACGTGCTGTCTCATTCTCTCTCACATTTTCAATGAATCTCAGTATATTTGCTGTAAATCGTAACAAATATGTCAAACTACTATATCTGTCTACCTTAATGAGATCAGTTATTTTCACACACTCACTCACTAATAATCCTAAAGTCTTGCGATCAGATGCTCTTAATTCTTTAACACACTCTTGAGGCATCTCCCCCGGTGATCCCTTTCTCTCACACTCAATTAACTGGCTTGGTCCGTGAAACCACAGCCTATTATTAATCAATTCTGCTGGCCTTATCCCTCTTGATGGTAAATCAGCTGGATTGTCTTTACCCAAACACAGGGGCGGATCTGGGGTAAAATTGATGGTAGAGCCCAGTAGGTGTGGTTGATGGGTGTGGTCATTTCTAATGTTAATAATTTTAAATAACTGAAATTTTGACAAGATGATAGACCTGTTCTTATCTCCACTCTCAAATCTTTCCAGAACATCTTCAAATGATATGTTTTTACTTAGATCTTTTTCTATTGAAAGTATAGGCATATCGGTGAGCCTCTGCTCCGCCATACTTGTCCTGAGATAGTTTTTAATTCTTTTTAAGGCAGAAAAAGACCTCTCACATTGAGCAATGCTTACAGCTATGGTCAGTGCTATACGTAACAACTTATGTAGTGTTGGAAACGCTAATTGGTGGAGATTGTAAACATCCATCACAGACTCATAGTTTTATCAGCAAGGGCTCCTTTTGCTAACAAACACTCGGCAGAAATATTGCCATCCAAACCATAAAAGGAAGCCATTGTTTGTAGAGTCGATGCTTCAAGAAAACTCTGTGATGTATGTAGGGTTGCATGCCTGAAGTGCCTTCAGAATCCCAAGATTGGTATCAGAAAATCGGTGCTCCATTTCAGAAATCATACGATCTATTACTGGATAGTAAATGCTCACTTTTAAAGATTTAGATGTGTTTTGCTGATCTCTTTGCCCCAGTGTAGAATCAGAAACATAGTCAATCGAGTATTTGGTTGTTTACGTCGACCATTCTCTTCTACTTCAATGCTATGTAAAGCTGCTACATCTTTAATGTATGTGAAAGTGTGATCCCATGTAGCATCATTTCTAATGGCTTTTAACGCTTCCAAAGTGGATAATATCAGAGCAGTAGCACTTACAAAATCTAAACTTTTACGCTGAAGTTGATCAGAGAGTGATTTTGTAATGGCCAAAAGACGAGTAAATATGACCAGGCAAAAAATAAATTGAAAATTATTGATGTGATGATAAAGGCCAACAGCTTTAATTGCCTTAGACTTATCAGTTTCACCACCAATAATTTCCAGACTCAATAGGATAGCATCAAAAGTGCTACAAATAGCATCTAAAGATGCATATCTACAAGCCCACCTAGTATCAGACAAACGTAGTTCTTTTGACTGCTTATCTGGGTGTAGTTCAGATTGTTTTTCAATGAACAATGAGTGAGCCTTACTAGCAGACATAAAGACATACAATGATTGCAGTAGGAAAAAGAACTCAGAAGCTTGGGAAATGGACTGCACACAATCAACCAACACCAAATTCAGGACATGTGCACTACAATGGATGTAAATTGCATGGGGAACTATTTCTCTAATACATGTTTGAACACCAGCTGTAGAGCCACTCATAGCAGCACCATCATACCCTTGCGAAACTATACACGACATATCAAGATTAAACAGAGACAAAGTATCAACTATATACTGAGTCAAATGCTGTGCTGTAAGGTTATGAGCTACAACAAAAGTGAGAAACCGCTCAACTATTTCAAAACGATCAGAATCTAAGTAACGCACAGAGAATGACATTTGTTCATTTTTACTCAGATCCTTCGTTTCATCCACAAGTAAGGTAAAATAACCTGCCTTTTGTACAGATGTACAAATCTGTTCTCTAACTAAAGTGGCCATAATACTAATAATGGTGTTTTGTATACTGTGCATTCCTAAGACTACTACAAAGCCTATCAGAAACAACTGAGTCATATCTAGAAACAAGTGATAGGATTTCAAGAAAATTGCCTTTATTCAAAGATTCTTCTGTTTCTCGATGGCCACATAAAGATATGTCCTGTCTGCAACAGGTAAGTAGCACATCTGAAACTGCCTCAGTATAATGCCTGTTCCTCTTGACCATCATAGATCTGTTATTGTGCAACTGCTCTGCAACTGTGCCATGCTGTAATGTAGCTTTGAACTGTTCCCAGGCTACTACAGACTGCATGTGAGATTGGCTTTTACTGTGTCTGAAGTGCACCTTTACTGCCTGTAGCATGTTTCCAGCCTCTGAAGCCATCAAGAGTGAAGGCTTTCTCTGGCCTGCTACATCCTATTGCAGATGACCCAAACAGACGGCATGGAAAGCAATAGGCTGCATCCTGCATTACAGAGTACTCAAGCCACTGAAACTGTACATACCACGCTGGATTAAAGGATCTTTCCTTGTCAGAATAAACTCTTTTGGGAAAAGTAATGTTCTTAGGTTAGCACAGAGAAGACGTGGTAGTTACTGGGTAACACAGGCAGAAAGCAAGTCATTAGTTGAGGTAGAAGGTCTAGACATTCCCCTTGGCCCTGTGAAAGTGGTGCTAGCACTAGCAGTATTAGTTGTAGCACTGCTTGTTGTACAGCTTGTACTTACTGAGGTAGAACAGTCACCAACATCAACAGACTGCTGTATGAGTGCTCCATTAGAAGCCCCTCTAGATCTCTTAGAGACATAACTAAATAAACTCAGCTGCTTACTCATCCTAGATCCTCCATGTTGTATTGAGATTAATGGCTTTAATTATCATCCAATTATTATGAATATCATTATTGTTAAATATGAATATCATTATCAAACAATGAAATCATTATAACTATTATGAATATAATTATTGCTGGGCAGTGATGCCCGGGCCAAGGCCCGGGCCCGGATCCGCCCCTGCCCAAACAATGTTTTCAGCAGGCAGCAAGAACAAGCTCTCTAATTTCCCTAACTCTGTTGTCCACAAAAGGCTTCCAATCTTTATGCTCTCCCTTGATCCAATACAGAACAATTTGAGAGTCAGTGTAACACACAGATGGTAACAACGTGATCTCATGCTGTAACGCCTCGTGAATATTATGAACAAGTCGCGATAATAACAATGTTCCTAGAAGTTCTAATCGCGAAATAGTCTGCGCGCTAGTTGGAGCTACTCTAGTCTTTGCTGAAACAAACATCAAATCTCTTCTTTCTTTAGTACAGCGTTCCAGATACACGACCGCCACGTCCACTCGCATGGAAGCGTCGCTGAAACCACGTAGTCTCCACTGCACATCAGTCTTCAGGCTCAATTGCTTGTAGTAACATCTAGGAATGAGAACAGGTTCCGTCTCCTTGATCTCAGTGATCAGTCCAATCCACTTGTCCAGGAGCTCTCTGCTAAGTTCCTGATTCCAGTCTATTTTTGCGCAATGCAAGTCTTGTAAAAGTATCTTGAGCTTGATTGTCACTTGTGAAACAATTCCAACTGGATCATAGACTTTACTGATGACGTCCGCAACGTGATGCTTCATTGGGTTGTGAATATTAGCTTCCGCTGCAATTGATCGTAAATCCATAATTAATACATCGCTCTTAGGATCCCACACAATACCCAACACTTTATGTAATTCTGCTGAAGATGGTGAAGGACCATCTTCACTCTCTGAACAAACAAATTTCCTTAAATTAAATCCCGCCTTAGCAAGTATATCTTTAACACTCTCCATTTCACAAGTGACTCAATCTCCCAAAACTTCTGTAACTGCTCTGTAAGTTCCAACTTCTCCTGACCAGCTCTAACACCACAAGTCAATACATGAGTCACAAGAGTTGTAGAAGCTGAAGCAACAGGACATGACAAGAGCCATCCCAGACTCGAGTATGTAGCTGTAGGTGCACAATCTCCTCGCAGTACCTCCCCAGATACTATGTCCCAATAATAGTCCAGTCCTATGAGAATATCCAGCTCAATGACATCTCCATTAGTGCCTGGATCTGCAAGGTCTAAGTCCTTCAAGTGATCATAGCCTATGATGCAGCCTCTCAGTGACACACCAACCAAAGGCTCACAGATAAGTGGAACAACCATTAGATTGAGAACCAATGTGTTCCCATCATTAGTTTCTAGAACTGCTTGGGCAATCTTATAGGACTGCCTCCTTCCTCCGGTGTTCCCAAATGTAGCAATGACTAAGTCTTTCTTACCAACTATTCTCAAAGAAAGTTTACGACACACTTCTTCTGTTATGTACGATCTGTAGCTACCACTATCACATACTAGTCTCAATGTAGCACTCTCTGTACTCTTTGTGTTGTGCACAGTCGCCTGAGCAGTCTGTAGCAGTATAGTTCCCTTGGCATCAGTCAGTAGAGTAGCTGATTTGAAAGGATCAGCCTTGGGATTGAGCCGCTTTGCACTCTCTCCTTCCTTGCTACTCTCTCTCTTGTTCATGCAGATGCTTGTATGATGCTTATTACTACACAAACTATATTTAATGCTTGATCTACAATTACGACTTATGTGACCTCTTCTCAAACAAATAAAGCATCTACCAGAATCTCTCAACATAGACTTTTTTATGTCTATCTTATCAACTTTTGTGCAAGACTCTGGAGCATTCTCTTCATCACAATAACAACAATGAGTAATACTAGTATAAAGTGTCGCTGACGTGGGACGCTCGCGTTGTGGTTTGCTTTCCCTAAAATGAGATGTTCTCCTACTACTATCAGGCTTTGGCAAAGTACGCTCACGTGCTTGGAGTTCTTGGCTCAGTTCTTCCATTATCTTGTCAAATTTCCAATCATCTTCAGATATCTTTCTACTAATAGCTAGGCTCAATTCACTAGGCAACTAGCTCATCAAAACAGAAGGTAAAAGGCTATTATAAGTATTTGCTTCAACTCCAAGAACAGTAAGCTCTCTCACGTGATTCTCAATCTTATGATACAAAGTGCACAATGCTAGAGTATTCCCTTGCCATGATACAGGATATAAGTGAAGCAAGGCTTCCATATGCTTGGCAATGATCCTCTCCTTATTACCAAATCTGCTCCCTAATACTATGACTGCTTCTGTATCATTAGCTTCTGTTGAAGTTAATCCAGCAATACACTCTTGTGCTGATCTACTCAGTAATGACCGCAAATAGGTGAACTTCTGAACTGGTAATAAATCTGAATTATCATGTACTGCTGCTTTATAGCTGTCCCAAAAGGTAAACCACTTAGTGATCTCCCCATTGAACACTGGTAAGTCAAGCTTGGGCAGCTTGGCTCTCACACTACTCTTGCAAGCAGCTACACTCTCTTTCTCAACCAATTTCTTCAACTTTGCTTCTACTCTTGCTAGCACCTCATAAACTGTTTCATTAAATCTATCAGCTTCATCAATCTCACACACAATTACCTCTCCATCATCAATTAACTCTATAATCTCTTCATCAACTTTCTTTAGTGCTGTTAACTTTTATCCTACAGACAACTTAATTTGACCAAGCTTCACATGATCTATATCCCCTGACTCTTCCATACCCTTGAGAAGCTCATCTCCTTGCACTCGTCTGGTAAGTAGGTTCCTGTATCCTTTCCTGATTTTAGCTTTCTTCTCTAGATCCACCATCAATAATTAATTAATATGCCCACGTATAGGCAACGCCGCAACACCCACGTAAAGTAATGATTATTAATTAGCACAATGACTCTCTAACAAGCTCTCTTTTATCACTCAAAGTTTTATTATAAACAAAGATCTCTCCCTCTTGAAACGATGGAGAATACCTTTCAACTTCCTCTAAGTAGACAAATCGGGTTTCCGCGACTTTTCTCCTTGTACCCATCTCGTTCGAGTTGCTTTCAGTCCAGTACAGTCCAACTGTTCGTCCCTATCCGGTTCACGGTGGACCAATGTACGATAGCTAATGCTGCGTTCTTTTATAGGGACTTCGAAATACTGGCTGTCCAATCGCTCTAGATACAGTAGCACACAAATTGGCTTTGTTGTTTAATGTCTACTTCTCTTCAACTGCACAGCATCACATACTGCGCATGCTCACAAAAATAATATTAATTAACACCAATTAACAAACATGAATAATAACATCATTTAATTTCCAACAATAATAATAATAATTATTATTATTATTATTACTATTATTATTGTTGCTGTTACCATTATCCTTATTGTTACACTTGCTTCTCTAATTTTCTCCTCTTTATGATTCATAACTTTGCTATTAATTACTTATTATTCTTTTTTTCACTTTTTCCTATTCTTGTTTCTCAATTTTGTCTTTCTCTTCCTTTCTTCTTGTGTTTCTTTTTTTTTGTATTGCTCGCCTCCTCTCTTGGGGGAGAGTGATGTAGTAGATGCCACGTGCTTATGCGCATCAGAGACACATGTTCATGAATTTTTATTGTTCTTTAATCTTCTCTATCTCTCTGTTCTCTATCCCTCTCAATCATTATCTGTGATAACATTTTCATTATAAAATATATTCGTTGAGATCTTCACTCTTAACAGATCCAACAAATTAAGAATGATTCACTACTGCAGAATCATTAGCAATATCCCCCAAGGAACCTCCTGCAATCTTCCTAAAAAGCTGTTTGATGAGCCCAAAGCACCAGTTTGGTGAGAACTAAGTATGCCCAACTGGAAGATCTTGATAGATTTATTTCTGTGTATCAGTACTCTCCAGGCCAAATATTGAATAAGAGTATCATTCTTATTTTGACTTCTACATGTGTCAGCATTGAGATTGATCATGCTAGCATTGGCGCCATGGTTTTCAATGTAGTGATGGACATAGCTGACAACAATATTTTCCCCCTTCGCTGTGTCATCCACTAGGTATGTAACCTGCCTAGGAAATGCTTTACAACAAACCCAAAACAAGCC